CCTCAAAACAGGGAAGGTCAAGGTCAAGGCGTGCAGCTTAATTTCAAAGATAAGTGAAGCTCTGCATTTATCTGGATATTCTTAAGTAATTACTGCCTGTTTTTTATTTGAGTCCCTTTTAAAAGTCGTCTTTCAATATAAGGTAAAATTTTTTCTCAGTTTTGTTTGACAGTCTGGCAAAATAGTCGTATACTTTCCCTTCTACCGCTCTCTAGTAGTTGTAGTTAAATAACGGTAGTACTTGCTATTCAGTGCGCTTTTCCGTACGTTGGAAACGTTTTGATCCTTCTTCTGTAATGTCCCGCAGAACACGTGCTAAAAGGCGAAAGATGGCGGCCTCCCCACCGTCTCTGGGTGCTAAAATCGTGACTGAAGACATGGCAAACGCCAGCATATGTTCTTTGCCGTCTGCAGATCTGATTAACTCACAAAACCCTTTAGTACATGTAGAACCTCTCGACCCTTCAGTCGTCCAAAAATACGCCTCTGCTAGTCGTAGCAGGCCATCAGCCGGCGAAATAATCGATCAGCTGATTTATGGAGACATAAACAGCACTTCTGAAAAAGTGCTTCAACAATCTTTTAAACTTATTGGGGTAATAAGTTCGGAAACTGAGGAACAGATTAAACGCAAGCATAATTTCGTACAAAGAAACATTCAGAGCCACTTATCTGCTATGGAGGGAGCGCATTTGTTCCTACAAAGTTGTGGCTTGAGTTTCAGTGTCGCACAAGCTAAGCGACTTCGCTCGCTTAGCCGTGATGCGCCGATACTATTTACCCTTTTTTCCATGATAGAAGTCGATTTTATCTTGTCGAGTAGGGAGATGACTAGAGACTTCTGCCGTAAATGGCGCTTCTCCGTTTCGCCAGACCTCACACACCTGCAGCGAAGACTGAATAAATTAAAATCGGCAAAAACCAGCATCAAGATAATGACACCTACTGTCAGTCTGAATATGTCCTCTACAACACCATCTGCGGCATCTGCACATCACGGCATAGTCAATTCCGTAGGGAGTTCGACTACTTTTAACGCTGACCTCTTTTAACACACCACCACGCCTCGTATAAACACGCCTCTATCGACTCCCCCAGCAACCCCTAGTAAGCCTAAGCATGTGTGGAAGTCAAAGGCAAATCCAATTGTTGCCTCAGCCACTCGGACACCCGATAAATCCAGCACCATTATAAAATATTTTCCTCCACAATCGGCGAACAGTGCCTCAAATACCCCGACTCAAAACGTACCGTGTTCCCAACTGCTCCCCAGCCCTCATATCGAGGCAGTTAGGCCGAATATGCCGATTTTCCCACCGTTTAATAGACCTCTTGTTCCGATGGAAACAATGCGTCCTCCACCCCATAACCTGTTTCCATCACGGCCGTTTTATCAATGTATTCGTCATGCTAATGTCCATAATGGACCAGTTAACTCATCCGATCTTCAGTTTCGTTCCGGCGGGAATGTGTTGCAGTATCTGCCCCGCGGATTTCCAGCTGAAAAGAAGTTATCTAACAATAGTTACCAGTTTACCTGCCCGTCATTCCCTCCCCCAAGTCCTACCCCTTTTTATCCACGTCAGAATTTTTTGATGCCACAAAATTTTTTGCAGAACCGAATGGTTGCATCCGGACCGTTTGCTCCGTGGGCAGCCCAGAACTGGACGATGTAGCCCACTTCCCTCAGAAACAAACAGCCTTTCCCTCCAACCTGTTTGTTTTAAATGCCAGATCCTTTCTTAATAAGATGCCTTTGCTTCAGACTCAGGTGTTCGTCCATTGTCCTGATATTGTTTTAGAAACTGAGACGTGGGCATCAGCCTCAGTAGCTGACTCCGAACTCTCTCTTCTAGGCTACAATTGCATTCGAAATGATCGCCAAGATAGCCGTGGTGGGGACAGCTGCGTCTACGTTAAGCAAACACTTAAATTTTTGCCGTTGGACCTCCCGCACTTTTCAGCAGTAGAAGGCAGCTGCTGGCTCCAGGTTGCACAAAAAAATAAGTTCTCCTTAGTCGTTGGCTGTGTCTTTCGCCCTCCCAACGCCAATGACAATTTTGATCGTTTACTCTCACAGGCATTTCATGCTGCGGCCGACTTAAGCTTTAAGTATCAATTGGTCTCCGCCTTCAGGCCCCAGAAGGTTCGATGACTTTCTTGAGGCTGTGGATGTTGGGATGTGGAATCAGGTTGTCGATTTTCCCAACCGAGGTTCAAGTATACTTGACCTTATTTTCTGTAGAGGCTGCTTGCCATCGTCAGTGTCATCCCCAGGCCCACTCGGGGGCTCAGAACATGACATAGTTGTTTCAACGTTGGAATTCGAGGCTGACGAAATGTCGTCCCAAAAGTATAAATTTTTCCGCGATTTCCAAACAACTTGCTCAACTGAATTATTAACACACCTTAATTCCTACGACTGGACTGAGTTCTTCCTGAGTTCGGATGTAAATGTTTGCACTGCAAAACTGTACGAAATTTTGGATCCGCTTATTTCTCGTTTTGTCCCCCGTAAGAAAATTATTAATGTTGGGGATGAGGTTTTCCTACCTTTACCCTTTCGTCGCAGATTGCGCAGGCTTTATCGTCGTTCCCATCTGCAGAACGATGTTTCTTTTCTGCCCTTGATTTGTGATATTTTTGATCGAGCTAAGAGATTGTCTGAAGAAAAACAGCTAGCCGAGGAGGTCCAGTTTACCGAAAACCATTCGTTAAATGTCTCGAAACTTTTCTCTAGAAAAATACGAACTCAGAGAAAGACGCAGTATCCCATCCTTCGAGACGATCTCGGAAATCACATAGTTGATGCCCAGTTAACCGCGGGTAGCTTCAATGATTTCCTGTCCAAAACATTTATTGAAGACTCGACCACTTCGCTTCCGACCATCCAGCCATTGACCGGGGCAGTTCTAGAAACTATAACTTTCACTCTGTGTGATGTGACTGTTGCGATTCGGCGTGTTCGTCAATCTTATAGTCCAGGACCTGATGGTGTCCCTGTAAGCATTTTAAAAGCCGATGCAAACACGATTTTCCCATCCCTCTTATGCAAGATATTTAATCTCGCTCTTGAAAGTGAAACTTATCCTACCTTGTGGAAGGAATCACACATTTTGCCCATTCCTAAGCATGGCAAATCTACATCATTTGATGACTTTTGGCCAACAAACACCCTCCCCGCAGTTTCGAAGATCTTAGAGACATTGATCAAAGATAAGATGATGTGTCACTTAACAGCGAATAAATTACTGAGTGCTGCTCAGCATGGATTCCTCAAAGCTCGATCTTGTGACACCTGTCAACTCTCTTTCTTTGACTATGTTCTTCAATCTAGGGACCATGGTTTTGCTCTTTACACAGTGTAATACGATTTCACTAAGGCTTTTGACCGTGTTGACCATGCTCTTCTCCTCTTGAAACTGTCCTCTTTCGGAATAGGTGGCAAACTTTTGAATTTTATATCCTCTTATTTGGGCACTCGCACACAACGAGTTAAGATTTCCAATACCATCTCCAACCCTACACGTGTGAGGAATGGAATCATTCAGGGTAGTGTACTCGGCCCGCTTTTATTTTGCCTTTTTGTTAATGATGTACCCGATTTATTTCAGAATGGTAAGCCGTTCATGTATGCCGATGATCTTAAAGTTGCATATCGATATAAGCCGGCAGATCGTGACATCGTGCTTGAGCTCCTAAAGAGTGATCTACAGGCTTTCGCCCAGTGGTGCCGCACATGGCGCCTTTCTCTTTCTTGGCATAAGTGCTCAGTCATGGTGGTTGGCGACGACCACCAACCTCAACTAAATATTGAAGGTCAGTCCATAAATGTGCCCAGGGTTATAAAAGATCTGGGCATATCATACTCCAAGTGTCTCAATCTCTCGGAGCAGTGTGCCTTGATAGTCTCCAAAGCACGCAGAACGACCGGGTTTATCCTCCGAAATTTTAAAACTAGGGACATTAGAATGCGCCTTTTCAACATGTACGTTAGACCTGGCCTGGAATACTGTTCGTTTTCATTTAGACTCATGCGTGCTACTGAGCAGAAGAAAATAGAATCTGTTCAACACTTTTTTACCAAGAGAATTTTAACCCCGGAACACCGACATTTGTCTTACCAAGAACGTTGCCGGCTTACATGCCTCGATCCTATATGGTTCCGTAGATTACAAAAGGGACTATTTTGGCTATTTAAACTCTTATATAATCACAAATGTAAACCACACACCTCTTTAAGACATCATATCCACCCAGGACGTAACAGTCACCGTGAGGTCTTTTTATTTCTGCCTCTGGCACGTACTGTTAAATATCGTCGGTTCTTTTCTGTAAATGCAATTGCTATTTGGAATAAACTACCCATGAGTGTGAAAACTCTGCAAAATTATCCTTTATTAAAGATAACTATTACTCGATTTTTGCATACAGAAAAGCCCCCACAAATTTTGGGTGCTGAAAACTCTGATCGGCTGTACCGTAGCAATGGCGTTTGTGGTCTTTGAACACTATGGCCGGTCTCACCAGCTGTTCCTCAACGCCTCTACTTTGGCTATCCCCAATTTCATGAAAGGAATTTGACGTCCGAAAATCTCCGATACCGTGCAACCTCCCCCTTCTTGACGGTCGATATTCTACCACCGCCAGCAGTTTTTTCTCCTGAGCCCTCTAAACCATAATAACCACCATCAACTGTATTTTTATCCCTTTAGCTCAGGAGTTTTTTTCACTGCCGGTCGGATTTTCGTTTAATCGCTTCCCTTGACAATGCCCGTAAACTGGCATTAAATAAAAATTTATTTTCGTTATAACCATCCTGCTACCGTTATGGTCAGCATCATATCCGGTGGTCAGACTGCAGACACCAGAAGACGGTATGCCAGTTTTGCAAGAAAATCGGCCACATCGAACGAATGTGTTTCTCCAAAAGACGAGCCAACACTAACACGCATGCGACCTACCCTAATCCAGCTGGGAATGGCGAGGCGATACATCGAATGTTTTCGGCCAATGCGCCACTCCAATCGCCCTACACCATCACGCTTCCGGTTGATCACCATCCCGTGAAGTTTGAAATGGACACTGACATAGCTGTTACTCTCATCAATGAGGCCTCTCTTCGGAAATTACTCTTCCTTCTTCCGGCTACCTCAACATTCCGTAGTTATACTGGACAGAACGTAGAGGTTCGAGGGTTTTTTACAGCCGAAGTCGAGCATGATGGAGAACTTCATTACTTGCCGGTTCATGTGGTGAGAGGAAGCTAGTAACAAAATCTCCTCAGAAGGAATTGGATTAAATGTGTGCCTTCTGTACTATCCTATGTACATCGGATTGGTGTAAATCCGTCTCTAAATTCAATTTTGCTAAATCATAAGGATCTATTTCGTCACGATTCTGCTACCCACTACCGCAGTCCACCTGTTAAGTTCCAGTTTCAGTCAGCTTTCCGGCCTCCGCCCTTCAAAGCTCGTACAGTCCCCTTTGTAGTCGCACCGAAGGCCGAAGAAGAGCTGGATCGCCTACAGAAAGCGGATATTATTGAGCCCATGCAATATTCGGAATGGGCAGCCCCAATAATTCCTGTTCTTAAAACCAATGGTTCTGTGCGTATCTGTGGCGACTACAAGCTTACAATCAACTCAGCAACTAAACTGAACCCTTATCCTCTCCCGCGCATCGAGGATCTGTACGCATCTCTCTCGGGTGGTCATCAATTTGCAACTTTGGACCTAAAGCATGCCTACAACCAAGTCGTTCTAGATACTGAATCCCGAGACGCCACCACCATCAATAAGCATCGGAGTTTATTTCGATATAAAAGACCATCATTTGGAGTAAGTTCGGCCCCCGGCTTATTTCAATGCTTGACTGATAACCTCATGAAGGATATACCTCACGTTTTTGCATACCCTGACGATATATTAGTCACCGGTCCAAGTCATCTGGAGATTCTAAACATCGTGTTAGGACGTTTAGAGGACGCAGGTTTTAAACTCAGGAAAGATAAGTGCACTTTTCTTGCCGACTCGGTAGAATACCTGGGCTTCGGGGTGGATAAAACTGGCCTCCATCCACTCGAACATAAGCTCAAAGCCTTGAAGACGGCGCCGCGCCCCAACAATACTAGTCAATTGCGTTCATTCCTGGGGTTGGTCGCCCACTTTAGTCGCTTTATTAATCAATCGGCTACCGCTCTAAAGCCTCTTTATCGACTACTTGAAAAGAATAGTTGCTGGCGCTGGTCGGAGATCGAAAAAAGTGCTTTTGAACAAGCAAAGGCGGCTCTTACCTTCTCATCTTTCCTAGTTTATTATGACACCGAAAAGCTTATCATACTGAAATGTGATGCGTCTCCGTAGGTGCGGGTCTCATGCACCGAATGCCTTCTGGTGCGGAGATGCCAATTGTCTTTGCATCAAGAACCATGTCACAGGCGGAAACCAACTATTCACAATTAGATAAAGAGGCCTTCGCAATCGCGTTTGGTCTACATCGCTTCCACCTGTATCTTTTGGCCGACCCTTCGAGATTCAAACTGATCACAAACCCCTCTTAGGTCTGCTGGGAGAAAAACGAGGGATACAACAGATGTCCTCGCCGAGAATGCAACGATGGGCACTCACCCTGTCTGCTTACACGTATGCAATGAAATACGTTACAGGTAGTGCAAACGTAGTGGCTGACGCCTTGAGTAGTCTGCCTATTGTGGACGATGGTATTAACGGCCCCCCCTGTTTTTAAGACCATAAATCTTTTGCAGAACCTAGTCAACGCACATGTAACCTGTCAACAAATTCGACAGTGGACATCGAGAGACCCTCTCCTAAGTCGGGTAAAAAGAGCCTTGCAATCTGGCTGGCCGTCCTCTACCTCCCCTGATTTTCAACCATTCTTAAGCCGTCTGATCGAAGTTAGTCTACAAGACAGATGCATACTATGGGGTAATCGTGTAGTTGTGCCACCACAAGGCCGATGGGCCATCCTCAGAGACCTGCATGATGCCCATCCTGGTACAGTTAGAATGAAAGCTCTCGCCCGCAGCTATGTTTGGCGGCCCAAAATTGACGCATATATAGAATACGTGGTGAAAGCATGTCACGTGTGCCAAGTAACACAGAAGACCTTACCGAAGGTTCCCCTGAAGCCTCGCCGTGGAAGAGGGTACACGTCGATTATTTTGGGCCATTCCAGAGCCATATGGTTTTGGTGGTAGTCGACGCCCACACTAAATGGATTGATGCGATTCCGACAGGAAATTCTTGTTCTTCACTGACTACAATTAACAAGTTGCGAACCCTTTTTCTTCTTTTGGGACACCTGAAATGGTCGATTCAGAAAATTTTCCTGCCTGTACTAGTGCAGAATTTAAAGCTTTCATGGATACACAAGGAATTAGACATTTAACTACTGCCTCGTACCACGGTGCTTCTAATGGCCTCGCAGAGCGTGCAGTCCAGACAATAAAGCACGCACTATCCAAACAGACGGAAGCGAACTTGGCCACCAAATTGTCACGCTTTCTTTTCAGCTATCGCATAACACCAAACGACTCAACTGGTGTTTCGCCTGCAGAATTTATGTTCAAGCGGCAGTTGCGCACAGGACTCGACCTGCTTAATACATCAAGGCATGATAGAGTCATTGCAAAGCAGACGAAAATGAAAGTACGATATGATGTGAACACCCGACCACGAGTCGTCGCGCCTAACGAAAGTGTCTACACGAAACTGGAACACGAAACGAACTGGTGTCCAGCGGTAATTCTAACAAGCGAGGGGCAAATATTAGAATTAGAGTTAGAAGATGGGAGAATTGTGCGTCGGCATCTGGACCAAGTTCGCAGCCGAACGGACACATTAAGTGGAGAGTTCGGAAAGTTCGAACTGCCAGCAAACCTTGATAGGGATCCTGACATCCCGAGGACTGAACAACTACTGCCTGCACAGAGCACTACGCCATCCGCCGAGGCGTATGTTCTTCCTCCTCCTTCTACCCCGGCCAGCACTAGCTTAGGGGCAGAGGAGCCAGTGACTGCACAAAGCGCCGCGGAGGTAGAAAATACCGCCGTGAGAAGATCAACCCGAATTTGCAAACCTGTCCAACGCTTTCAGGACGAATGTTATTAGAACTTTGTCTAACTATCCACTATTACTTTACTGTTCCCCCCTCCCCTCCACCTCATGCACTCTACTTTAGAGTGGAGGGATGCAGCGTATCCTGCCCGGGCCGTCAGGACTTCATGCCACAAACGCGTGACAAGCGAACGATCGAGGTCATGACCTCCGTTCACGCTTCTTTGTGCTGATTGGCCACCCATCAGCCTATGACAGTCCCCCTTGCCATATACTCGGACTTTTCTCCAAGCCTCCTCACTTGTGCTGTCTCTCGGACTCAGTACACGTCCTATTTCCAAATACACTTCTGTTTTGCATACAAAAAATTAGGGTCGATGTCACTTACAGACTTCAAGAAAGCGTTCGACAGCGTCCCACACAAACGCCTAATCTACAGACTTTCTGAAATTAGGATAAGGGGAAGGCTGCTGACATGGATAACAGATTTTGTTACCGGAAGATCACAAACCGCGTGCATTGAGGCCTCACGGTCAACTCCTAACCCCATTCTAAATGGTGTAGCCCAGGGCTCCGTCTTAGGGCCGTTGCTATTCCTGGTTTACATTAACGACTGCGTCGACGACCTGAGGTGCAGAGCCATCATGTTCGCTGACAATGTTAAGCTGTGGAGACCCATCAGATCGTACGCAGACAGGTACGCGCTTCAAGACAGTCTCAACCGCCTGAACAGTTGGTCAGCTCGCTGACTCCTTAATTTTAATGTGGACAAATGTGTGGTCCTGAGACTCTGCACCAGACGGACCAGTAAGAAGGACGATTTCTTTCAAAACGTCCTTGGTGGTCAGCCCCTTTCAAATGTTGTGGAACAGAAAGACCTGGGTGTCCTAATTACCTCCTCGCTGAAACCATCATCACATCGTCAAAGGGCAGCCAAAAGTGCGATAAGGGTGTTATTTGCGCTGAGGCGAGGATTTGTGCAGATCGATAAAAAGCTGTTCGGAAAAACCTATGGGGCATTCGTCCTGTCTCACTTAGACTGGCGACCGTGGTTGAAAAAAGATTAGCAACGATTGGAAAGAGTGCAGGCGATGGCTACGAAGATGGTCTAGAATCTTCATCATTTGCCTTACGAAACCAGGCTGACCAAACTAAATCTGCTTCCTCTAAATTACAGGCAACTGCGCGGCGATCTCATTTAAACCTACAGGATTGTCAGAGGCCGTGAGTGTGCCCTCGACGTTGGTGAATTCTTCAAATTGGTCGGGACTGACCGCCTGCGTGGTGATCCCTTCAAACTGCAGAGGAAGCTGGCTCATTCGGACGTCTGACGGAACGCCTTCACTCACAGGGTCACTAGGACATGGAACGGACTCCCTGATGCGGTGGTTCTTTCCGAAAGTGTCCAATCCTTTAAGTGTAGACTAGATGCTCATTTTTGAGAACAAACTGTACATATAATCAGGATTGTTTAAGCGGCAGCAGTTTGCGCCTGGCTCACACTTACCGCTAACTTTATAACTATTCGCATTTGCTGATGTAATTGATGACTTCATTTCTGTCTATAGATATAAATAGGGAGCTCAAGAGCGAAAGCCCTATCCCTTTAATAAACTGACTTAAACTATGGCAATCCTCCTGAAGAAACACGAAAGGAAATGTGCGACCGCCCCTTTACAGCTGGCCAGATAGACTGAAAACCACCAACTAAAAAACACCCAAATTTACACAACTGGAAATTACTTTCAATTTCAAGCCGATATCAAGATTCTTCAATTTCCCTGAAGGGCATAATTATTCATGCCCCCCAGAAACTACCAAAGTGCAAACTTCGATTTTTATATTGTGCATAAAGTTCTTTTGTGAAGCTTTTGCGATTATTTTTTCTTGGAACTCAAGTTTTTTTATTTAAAACAAACATTCAATGTTCGCTCTATTGCCTAGACAGACACCCAAAACAAATGAATTTAAAGTGTAGTCGAAATATATGAGTTTGTTTTAGGCTATATTCCTGTATTCACAGGAGACTGACAGTGCCCAAGGGGCGCTATAATAAACCTATTCTATTCCATATATGCCACGGACAACGTCCCGATGCGTACTCGACTCATGTATTTCAAATTTACCGTAACATTTCTACTTGTTAATATATAAGGCGTGTGATCTGACCCCCACAACCTCGTAATTCACATGCCCTCATGGCAATTTGATCGTTGAATACAATGAAGACCACCTGTGATCCACCGCAAGATGGAGCAGGCGCGGCGACTTGATCATAAATTAGTTTATAAGGAACGTAGACTAGTGCCGCATCTATCGAACTCTCTCCAGCCCCAACCTGGGCCCGCTGTCAAGACAGAGTGCATGCGGATAGTACGACCAAGTCCGCAAATTCGCGCTGCATTCCGCACCACCACGTTGACACAACAATTGAGCAGAATTGTGAAGAGGGAGACACAACCGCTGGGACACGAGCTTTATTTGCCTGACGGTTCGTATTCCTACCGGAACCCATCATCAGAGACAATAGCAGATACGGGTGGACCAAGCACAAAGGGCTGCAGTATCTATGGACTGCAGTCTCCATGCCACCGCATACATTTGAAAATTAACGGCTTTCACCCTCATAAGAGATACTTGCACTTTGTGTGATGACTGTTTTATGGCCGACATTTGAGTCGTTAATTGCAGCAATTCCGTCAGGGGTATTGGATGTCACTGTAATGATTGCTCGACCATCTGACCCACCGACCCTAGCGCTAGGAACAGAGTTCACCTGTGCGCCCACTACGTGGCTAATTACTCCGCCTAGGCAAAGTCCCAGAGCATAGTATTGAAGAGGAAGTTCGTTGAGCTTGTTAATAGACTTGGAGCTGTAAACCATGACTTAATAAGTTCGCAGCTCACGCGATTGTCTTCTTTATTGAGAAGTTCGGCTTCTTCGAATATGAAAGTGTGGCCGCATATCGTCGAATAAGCCGCAACTTGAGAGCTGGTGTCATTTCTCCGCACTGCTGCAGCGTGTCCTGCTATTCGTGTTCGGAGTATTCTTCCGGTGTTTTCGACGAAGTTGCTTTAACCGCAACTGCACCAGACTGTGGTGGATTAATGACTTAAGTATTCAGGAGGGTGATAAATAAAACGCAATTACTGAACCTCAACAACAACAACAACCACGCAATTACCCAACAGCAGTAGTGTAAGTACGCTCTATCGGCGTGTTGAAACAAACTGCAACGAGCCGGAAGACAAGATTGCCAATCTGCAATACCACTGACGGATCCACAGAGCCAACTGCATCAGTCGGTCCATACGAAAACGAGGCCAAACCGCACATAACGCAAATTTGTCGAGCGATTCCATATGCTAGAACGTTTCGAAAATTGTCGGCCGCCTTCTCGCACCACTTGGGGTTGGAGTTGCACACAGACCGGAGATTGCTACTCGAGACGCCGTAACCGCTGTCAGAGCATTGACCAAAAGAAGACCGGATAATGTGAACTCACGGACGAGAGCGGTACAAATCTGCTCTTGCACGGGATGGTTGAACGAGCCCGCGACACAGCACTGGAGAACGAAATCCGAAAGCTGTCTAATCCAAAGTCGCCCGAAAAACGACAAACCGGTGAACAACCTGTCGCTTACTTTCCCGCACTTAGTCTGGACGATTAACCTTCATAGGCCGGGTGACCAGTTATCAGTCTACTGAGAGGCACTACCCATGTACACACACACGCACACACACAGCAGGTGGACTGGCGTTGGCGAAGAATGCTATCATAAACTACGCGGCAGGTTGGGAGCAGTCACCGTGACTTGTGCGCGAGTTAGTTTATAGTGAGGGTAGACCTTCACAGTGTCTACCGCAGTCCTTGCTCCTCCTCTTCACCCGAGCCCGGTGTCGAGACATAATCAAGAAGGCCTGAGATGAGGAAGGGTGCAGGTGGATGAGTCGACCGAGCCCGCACCTAGACGTACCACCGTACTTTCTGGTGCACACAGCTGCTGACTAGGAATTTAACCAATAAAATCACTAATAATAACATCATCAACAACGACAGAAGCAGAGAGACAAGGATGAGTGGGCAGGCATTCTCACGACATGTACACCCAGCGGATGCACAAGCACATCTGCCGTTAGAAATCCATGCGTCGGAAACTGTCAGCAAGTACCAGGCAGCAAGTGTCACAATTTGCTGATTCTGGCGTAGCAGAAACTTGCAGACTTTTTAGCCCAGCAGGGTGATACGGGGCCCTGAGTTTTAATGGGCCGACACCCTACAAGGCTGGGTAACCAAAACTTCGTCGACTGATTTTCTGAATCATTCGTCAGTGGGCTCTGTCTTGCTGGTTGTCTGATTGAAGGTAGATATGATCAAGAGACATCACGGGTGACAATGCCCACAGTTTGAATCGCATTAAGTGGCGCTCGATTGCGCGCGCAGCTAAACAAGGATCCATCCATTGAAGCCTATGGGACGGCGGCAGGTTTTCCGCACTCTTGCGATTCTTCCCCGCTTTTCACCAGTCTACTTACAGCAGGAAAATCCGGTAATGAAGCGGCTGCCACACCCAATGCTACATGGCCATCAGCTGGATAAATATATCGACGCACTACCCTATACTGAGATAGCATGATATACCATAATTTATAGCACAGGTACTAGCCATGTAAATGCAAATGCTCTATGCTTGCCGACGAAATGAACATATGGGGTTTATTCCGGGCGCTGTCGACGATGACAGACCGGAACTAAACCTAAATCGGTTCAAGGGTAGTCGGATCGTTAGCTCATGGGGTTAAGCGTTGGCAACACAGCCGGATCCGCCAGCACAACATACTACATTGTAAGCGGTGCAACTTTATGGGACGTTGAAGCCCAAAAAGTGTCTCACAATGTTGTCGGCGAACTCCCTAAAACCCCCCGCCCACTGTTTGAGAGCGGTCAAAAGCGTAATGTTCATACGGTACGTCATTGAGCGAAGATTTATGGATTTTGACGAAAATGTTTTCGCAAAGACGTTAAGAACATTTCTGCGGCTGACTTGTAATACGGCATGCACACCTGGAGACCTGCGGGCGGTTCAAGATAAAAACTGTCTTGAAAGAGTTCAGAGGAGAACCAGGAAAACGGTTAGGGGTTAAAACGCATTTCCTTATGTAAGAGGCCTAATAAATTTGAACCTCTACCCATTGAATTATACGCAAATGAGCGGAGATCTCCTGCAAAAATTCTGCATAGTGAAAGAATTTAATTGCAGCCTGGCTTTTGAGGACATCTGTGAATTCGCTACTGTGACCAACCTCTGGGATCACACATTAAAATAGCTCATCCAGGAGGCAAGGCTGAATGCGCGGAACTTCTCATTTTCTGTCCGATGCTCTAGGCGCAGATGTTGTGATGTCACCACTGGTTGAGGGCTTTAAAAAGAACCGTGACATATGTGATTTTCGAAACGAACATGAGCAATGAATGATTGAGCTCATCGCTTTAGACTCACTCACGTTTTGTCCGACCATTAGGAATCCGTTTGAATTATTTTAGTCCAGATAATTTAACTGTACACTATGACCTATTTTACGTCGGAAAATTAAAGCCCAAACCCTAAGACACATTTCCCTTAATAAACTGTAATGAGCGAAATACTTTCCGACTTAAGGTTAAATAGCACTTGCACTTCCAACCCCAGATCCTATCCATCGTATCCTTGAACTCCACTAAAAGAAAAAAACTTGAATCTTTGAGCACAAAAGTGCAGCGTCATTTGAATTATGGCATATATTTTGTAGAACGAACTTGAGGATGCTCTGTCTCATGGCATAAATGTGCGAGTCGTTAAACAAGAATGAAAAGAAGTATAGCAGAGCTGTTTGTTTGCAGGACGACATCATCTCCGATACTCCCTCTGAGGAATGTAGGCGTCACGACTCACTTGTTCACCTGATCGCCAGTGGATCTAGTGATAGACAGAAGCGTTCTTACAACTTCCTGCTAAAAATGTTCCTCGATCTGCTCGGCCAATTGATGTTGCGACCAATTTCCTGTATTCATGTGGTTGCAACTACAAAATAGCCGATGTCAAACGCTTGTACTCCCGTAGCAAAAATCCACCCATCTTAGTCAAATTTTTTTCATCAATCGAGGTAGACACAATCTTTACCCATCGAGAGCGTGCCACTGCGTACCTAGAAAAGGCAACATTTTTCCTTTGTCATGGTCTTACTCCTATGCAGCGTAGAATCGGGTCTCTATTCTCACGTAAACCCACTGCCTCTCAGTCTTATGCTCCCCAACTCGGTTATAATACGAGTGGCCGTAAGGATTCAACTTCTCCTACTCCTGCGCCATCAGACTCCCTCCTTCCTCGTTCTCCTACGTCTCCATCTCACTCAAGCAACTTGACGCATTTTCCTGCCCCTAAACTTGCAGCAGCAGCAGCAGCAGCAGCAGCAGCAGCAGCAGCAGCAGCAGCAGCAGCAGCAGCAGCAGCAACCCCATTTGTCGTTTCGTATCCTCCGGATAGTCCCGCTGAAACACATGGAAATCCGTCTACATCAGGTAGACCGATAACTTCTGTTGTCCAACTGGGTGCTGTAAGGTCTACAGTTAAGTCACCAGTGGCTTGGCGTCAGAACGGTGAGACTCGAAAATTGAATCACACTCCGACCCAAAAGATAGGTAGTACAGTTCCATTTAGGGGTACGACGCCTTCTCTTAGATCTAACAAGTCTGTTCAGCCCAGCACGTCTACAAACCCCGCAGCTCCAATTATATCCCCGAATAATTCTCTGTCCTGCGTACCGGTTACTTATCAAAGCCCTACTATATATCCAGCAAAAAATTCATACATGAATTGCCCTAAATCATTTATGCCCCAACCCAGTTCAGGCTTCCCACCCCTTAAGGCCAATTGCTCTCAGGTACGTCAACCTATCTCCTTTGACTTCCAACCTAGACCTGGTTTCCCACCCTTTCATTCTTATAGCGGCCTACCCTCACCCACTAGCCCCCACTTTCCTTCTAGCCTCCCTCCTCCTCCCCTTCCTCCACTATTTAACTACCAACAAGTCTATCCATGTTCGAACTCCCCTAGCATTCCATTGTTTGAAAACTATATCTCCACATCCTTTAGGTCTCATACTCAGCCTAGTCTTGCTGAATCCGCATACGTCAATAACTCTAAATTAACTGGTACTTATTCTCCAAGTGTCATTAATTCACAGCTTACATATCAACCTCCTACTTTTTTTAAATACCGTCGAAAATACCATTGCCGTTCGAAACACATTAGGGATTATATTATTGAATGCCAGGTCAGTTATAAACAATTCAATTCAATTCAATTCAATTCAATTATTTTATTAAAGACCCGTCGGGGTCCCATCAAAGCAAGTAAAAATAAATTTACATGCAAATTTTAGACGATGTAGGCAAAATCTGCACAAAGTGCAATGCATAGTTTTTGAGATTAGAAGTCCGTTAAGCGAAATGAAAATGAAAAAAAAAACGAGGGGTGAAAAAAAACTCCAAAGCAAGATTTAAAAATGATTGTAGTAATTTAACAGGAGAAAAAAAACCCTCAGAAAAATAGCATCAGAAAAAAAGGGAGGACTGGCCTGCATGTGGCGGTACAAAATGCAATAAAGCCCGACATCAACATGGCCGAAATAGATGTCAGCTGTATATGGCATTGTGTAACGGATTTCATAAAATGGTACGTAGGCGGGTCGGTCAGGACTGCCCTGTATCGCCTTGAATAAGAAAAATAAGTGCCGAAATTGAAAACCAGTCTCAAGCCGATAGGAACCCAGATGCGGTCGGTTTCATTCAACCGAGTCCATCCGAACATGGGGGGAAGGGAGATGCGACCAAACTACTAGTATATGGCGAATACAGAAGGCTTTGTCAAGATCGCCGATGGAGCGCATTCTTTAAGGGCACGATGACAACCAGTCTCGAGGCGAAAAGGCCCCAGATGCGGTCTGTTACATTCATCAGAGTCCATCCGAGGATAGGGCAAATGAGATGCGACCAGATTACTAGTATATGGCTAATATAGAAGGCTTCGCCAAGAGCATCGATGAAGCGCATTCAGTGAGGGCATCATGAAGATCAGTCTCGAGGCGATAGGAACCCAGATGCGGTCGATTACATTCATCCGAGTCCAACCGATGATGGGGGAAGGGAGATGCGACCAAACTACTAGTATATGGCGAATACAGAAGGTTTCGCCAAGAGCGTCGATGGCGTGCATTCAGTGAGGGCACGATGCATGAACTAAAAAGTTGGAATAATTAACATTTCTGGTGAGGGATCTTAGGTAGCGAGACTACTCATAAAGAAACGTGAACAGATACGGAAATTTAATAGCGGCATGCTAAATTCCCGGTGGCCCTTTCTCAGTGTCATAGGAAAAGTTGTCTGGGAAGGATGAGGAAAATAAAAGTTTAATCGAGTCAGTATTCAGATAAAGGCGTAGCCTTCTCTTAAAGGTGTGTAGATTTTCTGAAGATCTTATATTTATTGGAAGGTCATTCTAGAGGAAAGTATACCTGGAAGCGAAAAAAAGGTAGCGCTTAGAGGTGGAGGACGCTGGAAGAGGTATAATTAGAGACGAATTGCGAAGATTGTATGGGTGACTACTAGGGGTAAGTGTTGAAATCCGAGGAAAATTTGAACTATGATTAATGCGAAAGAGGAGACAGAAGCCCGCTTCTAGTCTTCGAACCCATAAAAATTTTAGGTTAGTTAGTTGGCACCTATCTGAGTAGGAGATACTGGGATGTTCCCTATCTAAAAGTTTTTTTGAAAAACGTCTTTGGACATTTTCAATTTTTAAACGACTGGCTTCATTCATCAAACCAAAGAATGGGCAACAATACTCGAGAATGGGAAGTACAAACATACGATAGAGCCTTAATTTAATTTCAGGAAGATAGAAATTGTAAGAAATAAAGCCACAAATCTGGGCAGCTTTGGCTGCAATTCTGTCAGCGTGCGGCGAGAGATCAAGATTACTAGTGTAGCTTAAACCTAAATCCTTGATGGTGGTACATTCAGTCATAGGTGTGCCTTGAAGGACTACAGGTTGGGATAGCCTATCAGGTCCAAAACACATATAACGACATTTAGATGGAGAGATTTCCATTAGCCATTTTGAGCTCCGAGCTGAGAGAGCAAGCAAGTCATCATGGATTTGCTCCAGGAAATGAAGGCTCGTAGATTTATTGAAATAATTTACACATTTGAGATCATCGGCATAAATAAATGATTGAGAATGTTTAACTGCTGCTGAAATATCATTTACGTAAAGCAAGAACAAAAGAGGACCTAAAACGGTACCTTGTAGGACACCGCTTGCAATAGGACTTTCACTGGAAAGTGAAGATCCCACCAAAACCTTTTGTTTAGGATTAGACAGGTATGGCATGAGAAAGTCCATTAGTGGACTGCGAATTCCCATAGCTTCCAATTTAATCAAGAGTCTTTTATGTGGCAATTTATCAAAGGCTTTACTAAGATCAAAATAATTAACGACAACAGATAGGTGATCATTACGAAGAGAGGTAAGTAGATCGAGAAACGACAGATGACATGTTTCACAAGAGCGATCTGGTAAAAAACCATGTTGGGAAGGGCTAATAACTTGATTGGCTATGCAAAATTCGGTAATTTTTATGGCGATAATTTTTTCAAAGATTTTGGCGAGAGAGGCTGTTTTATGGACACCTCGATAGTTCTGTACGTCAGAACGACAGCCAGACTTAAATACTGGAATAATAATAGAAGTTTTCCAATAGTCAGGGAAGAAGCCATTTACGAGAAATACTGAAAAGATTTTGCTAAGCAGAGGAGGAAAATCTCTTAGTTGTTTCATCAAAGAGTTTGGGATATTGTCCGTACCTACTGAGTGAGAGTTAGGAAGATGACTTATCAGTTTTTGAATACATTCAGGAGAAAAATTAATGAAGCTAAGAGAAGCATCAGACAACGAAGGAATTAAAGGGATCGGATCAGTTTCAATGGTGAAATGCTTGGCAAAGAACGAATTTAAAATTTCTGCTTTGCCTGACTCTTCTGTAATGAAGGCATCACTTGCACTAAGCAAGGGCGGAATGACTTGGTGGGACTTAGCAGATGATCTCTGACGGAAGATCTGAGAAACTGATTTAGAAGGATTCACATCATTAATAGCCAAAGACTCTCTACGCCTATCTCGCTCGAGCCTTATTTTCGAAGTTAGTTCAAATATTTCAACGATTCTTAGATGAACTGATAATGAACTCACAGAAGGATCTTTAAACTGCTTCCGTAACTTTTTAAGTCTGTTTTTAAGAAAGTGTGGGATAGCGGTGGAATTAGCACTCGGTTTGAACATCTTCCGAGGAATAAGGTCAGGAAGACCTTCTGTTACGCATTGTAATAAATTGTTGAAAAAATTTAGATCATTATTTGAAAAAATATTGTGCCAATCAAGAGTGCAGGTAAAGTTATTTACTAAATCCTTATTAACATTAGCAAAGTCAAAAATACTACGTTGAACTGTTGGCTTTGCGGAAATGGCAACTGGAAGGCGACAATGAATTAATGCATGATCACTTGCAAAGAGGTCATGATAAAAATCCATAGATAAAGGGAAGGTGCCATTAGTAAATATTAAGTCTAAAACACTATCGTTTCTGGTCGAAGAGTGAACTAATTGAGTCAGGTTTGAAAAGTAAATTGTGTCAAGCAGCTTCTGGAATTTAGGAGGAGAAGTATGTGTGTGCCAGTCAATTTCTGGCAAATTAAAATCGCCTACGATTATCTTGACGTCGAAAGAAGTTTCTGCAATTTTTTCAAAGAGTTCGCAAAGTTGGCTTTCATTACCGGAGGAACAAGGAGGATTATATACACATCCGACTAAGGCTTTCCTATTTTGAGGAAGGATTACCGAAGCAAAACATAAATTTCCAGAGAAGGAGGAAATGTTCAAGTTATAAGGCGATTGTGCAAGTGAGGATCTTATGTAAAGAAGGCATCCACCGCCGCGTCTGTCGGCACGGTCCTGGCGGTATAAACTAAGGCTATCTATGTTAAGTACCGAATCTGAAATTAGAGAGTGGGCCCATGATTCAGTAATGCACAATACGTCTGTGTCAAACTCAACAGCTACACTTCTTAGGTGTGCCATCTTTTGTACGACAGATCTTGCGTTGAGAGAGACAATACTGAGCGTATTCCTAGTATGTAGGTTTCGCTCATTGCTACTTATAAAAAAGGAAGAGCCGGAGGTGGAAAATTAAGCTGAGGGAACGGAGCAATTGGTGGAGGACAAAGTTGCTGCGGTCTAAAATTTATGGGGTAATTACTAGTTAGAGATGCAGCATTAGGTGGAAAAACATTTGAGGAGGACCCAGGAAGAGGAAAACTATTTTGTTGGGTTGGAAAAGTAGGAGACAAGAAAATAGGATTTTGGGAATTGTTAGCATAATACGAGGGGTAGTTTATGTTAGGTGGCGGACGTAATGGTTTCGGGAAACAGTTAACATCAGGAAAGGGCTTTATTATTTTGGGTGTCAGGCTAGCAACGGGATTGGAAAATTTATCAGCAATGCAATATACTTGCATTTTGCAGTCTGATGTGTAAGAGGGCTTCACAACTGTGGCGGTAAGTTGAGAATTCAGGATAGGAACAGGTAAACACCTCCCTGAACTCTCATCTAGTTTATTAGACCTAACTGCAAGGTCAGACCTGAGTGGCCAGCCGTGGGAACGGGGTGGATTCGATGTCAGTTTATTAACCAAATCACTATTCTGAGTGCTGGGAGCCGGTTGTGCTTCAAGGACTAGCTCATATTTACTGCTAAGATCAAGCTCTCTTATAAATTTGGGAGCCGCATTTGAACAATCCTTGCTCCGTGGGGGAGTTTTAAAGAGGCTAGTTTTAACCGTCTCTGTGATAATGTGATCAGTCGAAGAGCTAGATGGAACTGGGGCCGCTGTAGATAGTGGCGGGATTTGGTCAACATCAGATGGAGAAACTGCTTTAGAGGAAAAAGACATTTGGGTAGAATTCGGGGGTGGCTTTACGTTTGGTAATATGGGAGAAATTTTTCGTTGCAGTGGAGTCTGGTCTCGACTAATAAAAAGTTTATTTGCCCTGAGGTATTGAGTTGATCGCTCCAAATGGGAGAAAATAAAATCCACTTCAATCGATGAAAAGAGTTTGACAAGAATGGGCGGATTCTTGCTCCTAGATGAAAGCCTTTTGGCTTCCGCGACCCTAAAGTTGAAGCCGCATGAAAAAAGGAATTGAAAGGCAACATCAATTGGCTGTCTATTCTTGGGAACGTTTTTTAATATAAAGTTGAAACTTCGTTTGTGCCTGTCTTCAGTCTCAGTGGCAACCAGGTTAATGAGAGGCATGAGCTTCTCACACTGCTGAGACGTAAGCGTTGGCAAATTTCCGTCAAGAAGGGCACCAAGGACAGAAAAAATTGATCCGCAACGAGACATAAAGTTGTTAAAATCATCAAGCGCCCCTAGATCAATTTTTTTCATATGAACACTGGGTTTCAGATGAAGTTTAGTTTCCTTCAGATTTCGACGAAGGGTTGCTTGAGGTTTCATGCCGAAAACGCAATACAAGACTTAAGTCCAAATATTTATATGGATGATAACTGCCGAAACTTCGAGGATATATGGATGAGGCTACGTATGATGAAACGATTTATGAAAGATGCAAATATTGGTGGACCAGACAGCACAATTTATACTAAGCAGGTTTTACTCAATACCAGAATGCAAACTAGAAAAAAAAACGGGCAAATGACAATTTCGTAGGTGGTAAAACAGAACTATGAATAAATCTGAATTGGATAATGAGGCTATGTAGGATAAAATAGATAACAGTATAATTCTCAATAAACTGACGATGAAAGCCGTCAGTGGAGACGGTTTATCGTTTAAAATATAATGTTAATCTATATTTTTACGAGGAAAACCTTTTGTATATGCAGGTAAGACTTGATAGGATTGAGGCTATGTTGGGTGAAAAACTGCGACAATAGATTTCTGCTTTATGACAAATCGCAGAAACACGACAGGAAGCGAAGAAGACTTATGACAAAAAATAGAAAATTTCGTCAGGTCTACACTGGAAAACTGTGCAAGGGATTAAGAAATTGAATCCAAAAATATAACTTTCAGAGCCATTGCTCTGGAAATGACGACTGATATTATATGTGTAACAGAATTTTGGACCCATTCTCTAATTCTTGACTCTGCCCTTCTCATAGATGACTTCGATTTTTACCGCCAAGAACGCACGACTAGGCGTGGGGGTGGTTGTCTTCTTTATCTTAAATCCTACCTAAAGCACTCCCTCTATTACTGGGATGTTTCCTCATGCACGGAAATCTTCTGCTTTGCATCTGTTATTCTCTCGCCGCAATGAAAGTCAAGTATTGGCTGTATCTACAATCCCCCAAATTCTTTAGCCAGTTATGATTCTCAACTCTGTGAAATCTTTAAATTAATTTCGGAAGCTGCTTTCGATGTTAAAATAATCACTGGGGATTTTAACCTTCCTAAAATAGACTGGGTTTCCAATAGCTGTCCACCCAGATTCTAGCCCTTTCAAGATATTATCAATTGTTCTAATTAGTCCCAACTGGTGCGATCTCCAACAAGAGATAATCACATTTTAGATCTAATCTTTACCAATGACATTGCTCCTTTTCTGCTGCTTTAAAAAAGGACCTCTTTGACAGTGGCCACGTATTAATTCATTGTTGCTTACCGCTTGCCTTTTCAAAAAAGACAAGCCCCGTTCGGTCTCACATGAACTACGACTGCGTAGATAGCGACTTATTAAATAACTAAATGAAATCCTTGGATTGGTGTGGCTTCCTCACTTTTAGCGATGTAACCATTCTTCGTGATGCCATGTCCAATGTTCCCAAGGACATTCTAGAGTTTGTGCCGCGTAGATATCTCAAGCCTTATTCTTCAGATTCCCTCGTTCCTTATTTTCTTCAGAACAGACTAAAAATGTTGAGACGGAAGCTGCGTGACCCATCCACTAGTTCCTTATCAGTTCATCTTAGAATCACAGAGATTTTTGAGATGGCCTCAAGGATGCGCCAAGCGCGCGACAGGCAAAGAGAATCAATTGCTCTCAGTGATTCGAACCCTGGCAAATCCGTCGCTAACATTTTCCGTCATCGGTCCTCCTCTAAGCGTGGTCACGAACTTCCACTCCTGCTAAATGATAACAAAGTCTTCCTAACCGATGACACTGACAAGGCGGAGTTGTCTAGTGCTTTCTTTGCAAAACACCTTGCTAACGAGTCCGATCCGGTCCCTTTCTTTCGATCACTTTCAGATAGGACAATTAGTACAATCGATGTCTCCTCAGATCTCATTAATAAACACATAAGCCGTTTGAAATACTCGCACTGCTCAAGAACGGACGGAATTACGAATTCGATTGTTAAACAAGCGTATGACCTTCCCATATTGCTCAGTCATTTATTCTCAGTTTATATTTCAAAAGGATTCTTTCCTGAAACATGGAAAACTTCAATTATCATTCCCGTTTTCAAGTCAGGATCTCGGTCCGATGTTAATAACTATCGGGGCGTGCACAAAACGCCGTCTCTAGCAAAACTTCTTGAAAGGATTATTTTCAATGAAATTCTTGACTTCTGTCTAGCTAATCGGCTTCTGAGCTCTAGTCAGCATGGATTTTTACCTGAACGATCCTGCGAAACATGTCACTTCTCTTCGTAATGAGCGGCAGTCAGTGGTAGTTCAGTTCAGTTCAGTTTATTGAGGGAAATGTAGGTCTTCACCTTTGAACTCCCTATTTGTTTACAAGCAACTGCAAAATCTCAAAAACTCGAAAAGGTATCATAAAGTAACAAATAATCGGTAAAGCGTCAGGTCTGTACAGACAAACAAACTGTCTCGAATTTTAGTGGTACGAGCAGTTGTAGAGCTGTCGTTTCGAGTGCAGCGAAATAAATAATATGTCCGGGGACAAAATTTGCATATGTGCATGTCAGTAAGCGTAGGCGATGGGCTGGTACAATAAAAAGTTCAATTTACAATGTTACTGAAATATAGCAAGTAGTATTATAATAGCGGAATTTGTCGAGGTTACAGAGATCGGGGTGGTAATTTAGTGCACACTGCTACACGAATCCAGCTTCCTCTTAAAAACCTCGACGGAAGCAGACATAACGACATCCACTGGCAGGGCATTCCAGGCTTCTACCACTCTGTTGGAGAAGAAGAACTTTCGCGTGTCCAGTCTGGCCCCTGTCACACGTAGTTTGAATGGATGGCCTCGTAGATTTGTGGTGGTTGCTAACTCGAAGAAGTCACCCGGTACGAGGCTGCAGTCCTGACCGCGTATGATACGGAAGACTTGTATCAGGTCACCCCGTAACTGCCTGTAACTCAAGGGAAAGAGATGAAGGTTAGCTAACCGCGTTGCATATGGTAGTGAACCCTGTCCTGCCACAAGTTTCGTTGCACGCCTTTGAACCCTTTCAAGGATGCTGAGGTCCTTCGCGGTCCAGGGTCTCCAAGCTTGGATAGCAAATTCTAGTTGCGGACGCACAAAAGTTCGAAAGACTTTAGCGAAACAGTCTTCGTCAAAGGCAGAGAAAGCCCGCTTGATAAGGTAGAGGACTGACATTGCAGACTTGGCTATCTTCGTGCAGTGCAGCGAGGGTTTGAGCGAGGTCGTAATCCATACTCCCAAGTCCTTCTGCGAGTCCACTTCTTACAGTGGTATACCATTTAGGCAGTAGGCCATATGGTTTGGAGAGCGAGCTCTGCCGACTCGTAGAATATTGCACTTTTTCTCGTTGAACGGCAGAAGCCAGGCCTTTGACCACTGTTGGAGTCGATTTAGGTTCGCCTGCAGATGCTCTTCGTCATCTGCAGTTCGAATGACGCTCCAGAGCTTAATGTCATCCGCAAACATGGCGACACCACAATCCAGTTCACTCACGCAATCGTTGACGTAAATGATGAACAGAGTAGGGCCAAGAACTGAGCCTTGGGGAACACCGCTTTCAACGGCAACCTCCGTCGACTTCTGGCCACCGACATGGACAGTTTGACAACGGTCTAACAGGAAGCTTTGAATCCATTTTAAGAGGTTACCCCTAACGCCTGTTCGGCTCAGTTTGTGCAGGAGTCGCTGATGTGGGACACTATCAAATGCCTTTTTAAAGTCGATATAGACTACATGCAGCGCACTGCCTTCATCAACTGACCGAGTCCAACGTTCCAAACAGTTGAGCAGGTTAGTCACGCAAGACCTGCCACTACGAAACCCATGCTGCGCATCAGATAATAAATAATGCTGCTCTAGGAAGCGCATCAGCTCTCGCTTGATTATTTTCTCCATGAGTTTGCAGCAGATGGAAGTGAGGCTAATTGGCCTGTAATTGTTTGCAGAGGCCTTGCTGCCTCCTTTATGCAGTGGTGTGATCCGCGCAGATTTCCAGTCGGCGGGCAAGCCGCCGGCTTCGAACGAGGCTTGGAAAAGCATGGACAATGGTTTGGCTAGTTCGGCAGCGAGCTCCTTCAGTAACTTAGGCGGTATGTCGTCTGGACCTGGTGATTTCGACTCACTTAGCGTCATTAGCTCTTTGCGAACCGTCGCTTCATCAAAAGACACAGACTCGATTTTTGGACCCTCATCGAAGTCGTAGTCGGGGGGAGTAAATGGACTTTCACTAGTAAAGAGCCTTTGACAAGATGCCCCATAGACGTCTATTAGTAAAATTGGAAGCTCTCGGCATCCGGCCGCCTCTACTCGACTTCATCAGGTCCTATCTGTCCAACCGATATCAGAAAGTCATGGTCGGTAATAGCTAATCGACACCCCATTCGACCACGAGTGGCGTACTTCAAGGCACGGTCCTGGGTCCGCTACTCTTCCTTCTGTACATCAATGATATTTCGACTGAATTAGGAAATTCGCAAACTTTTATTTATGCCGATGACCTCAAGTGTGTTTACTCATTTTCTAAGGACACCGCAAACGTTTGTGTTGAAAAAATTAATGCCGATTTACTACGATTAAGCAGATGGGGTTCGATATGGCAGATGGAGTTTTAATCTTCCAAGTGTAGTTTCATGTCTTTTGGTCCTACCAAACTTCCTGGTCCCATAATTTTTCAGAATAACCCACTCTCAGAATGCCTCACCATAAAGGACCTAGGTCTAAGTTAGACAAATAAGCTTGCTTTATCACCTCATGCAGATAGAATCTCTGCCAAGGCCGCGCAGATATGTGGATTCATGTCGCATAATTTTTTCCTTCCGGAAATGAAGCTAAGACTTTATCAAATGTTTGTTCTTCCAGTCCTCGAATACTTCTGTCCTTTATTCGGTTTAATGAACGCCTGCGACCATAATAACATTGAAAATGTTCAGAGCCTTTTCCCCCGGAAACTGTGCTCTCAAGCTTCGTCGGGTATTTCTTATACTCAGAGATTTCAGCTGGCGAACAGTAATTTTTTTGGGTTAGAAGACTCTAAGCTGGCCTTTGCTTCCTTTTTCGCATTAACTCTAGCTCCAGTCTTCCGCTCATTGACACTCTCACTCCGAGAGATCGGTCTTATGCCACGCGCAACTCCTGCATGGTGATTCCTCCGCCTCTTTGTACTACATCTAAGCGCTCCCTCTTCTTTGCTTCCAAATTTGCCTTCCTTTGGAATAATCTTCTGCCTGAAATTAGATTATCGCCTAAGTTACTGGTATTCAAGTCGAAATTACACAAACATCTCACACCGGAAAGCATAAACGCACTGTAAACGGACTCATCCCCGAACACTCAGATTCTGGACTTCGAGAAGGGTCCTCCTGAGATTTAGTGGTATATGTAGTGGTAACTCTTAATTATATCATTAGAAACTCCTGTTTTTAATTGGTTTCTAAATCCACGGCTATCACTCCTCCCCCATAGCGAGAATTTTCGCGGTGTTTGATGTCATCTCCCGCATTCCGACCTCATGCGGTCTGTCGACGCTCACGAAAGAACCCTCAGTATTCACTGTCTACTAGCAGTTTGGTCGTACCTCCCTTCCCCAATGCTCGGCTGAGCTCGAAGCGTGCTGTGGCCGATCGCATCTGGGTTCATCTCGTCTGCCCTTTCTGACGCGGCGTATCAATCCGGCCCCGACGATCTCACTTGTGAATCCCGTATGCAATGCCATATGCAAGCCAGTCCTGTCTGACCCACATTTGTACCTCTCAAGGCTGAGATTTATTGCTACCTTGACGATGACCGACAACATTCCGTTATATACCGCCACCTACTGGGCAGTCCTGCTCGCTTTTTTCCGTCATTATTTTTATTGAGGGGTTTTTTTTCTCCTGTAAAATTAATCGAATCATTTTTTACTTTTTGTAAGGAGTTTTTTTCACCCCTCAATCATCATATTTCTCAATGAACTTCTAATTCTGAAACTATGAATTGCATTTTGTAAAGATTCGGCCTACCTCGTCTAAAACTCGCATGTAAATTTATTTTAACTTGCTTTGATGGGACCCCGACGGGTCTTTAATAAAAATTATCTATCTATCTATCTATGCTATCCGCTTATTCTCCCATGAAACGTATGTTCTCCACTCACGGGTTTCTTTTATAGGCCTAAGCGTCTCCCCTTCTCTCTGCTGTTTCGTGCTTGGCAGTCCGCGTACGGCGTAATCTCCCAGTTACCCCGACGTAGTTGCTTTGTCCGCAACTCTCTCCAGGTCCGATAAATGACTTCTGAAGTTGCATGGCGTGGAAATGGGTCTTTCGGCCGCATGACTTGCGCGTGATGGTTGCTACTGTAGCAGCCGATCCATTCTCCCTTTTCTCCGGCTCCGGTTTGTCGGTCGATGGCCTCGACAATCGTTGCCAGGCTACCGACACATGACCATCCCTGCTAGCTAGAAATGTGGTCCCATCTGTCCAGCTGCAGTGACCCCCGGCTGCATCCCACAAACTATTATCACCTCATGTGTGTCGGACGACCTAGCTTGATACCCGTGAGCCCCTGTAATTATGCTTGCCTCTAATCCTCCCATAATCCGCTCAATATCATGACCAGCACTCATGCAGTCATACCCACTTACTGACACAGACTTTCCCCCCCGCGTAAACGAAACAACGCGACCGACGCTCTCAGTGAACGGACGCTTATCTCTTTTGCAAGCAAACAGCCAACTTACGGCAACCTGCCCTGTGTACAGAATAAGCTATTTCTCACAGCTCCCTGACTACTGACATTGGACGAAACGAACTTATTGTGCGTGGTTTAAGTTGATCTCCTATCCTTGGCCGCCACACTTCCGACCTGGACACAATCCAGGTTGAGCCGTCAGTCGTCTTCTAATTTCCCCTGGAGTTGGGATTTCACACAGGCCAGACGCAACATTCAGGCGCCAAGTCATGCGGCTGAAAGACCCACTGCCGCTACAGCAAACTCCAGGAGTCGTTTAGGGAACCTGGAGCAGTTACGGACAAAGCAACTACGTCGGAAAAACTGGGAGATTACTATGTACGCGAATCGGCGAACACGCAATAGCAGTCCGACAGGGAGACGCTAGTTCTCAGGTGGCGGGTCACTCCACGAAATCCGGCCATATTTCCAAGTTTCAAGCGGCCCAAATTCTTGTAAGGGGTGACAACCGCGTGAGCCGCAAGCTGTTCGAGTCATAATTATCAGGCCCTCAAACCATCAACAAACACAATGACCTCTCGTTACCATATGCCGTACTGAGATTTTCCCTGGGCAAGGGAACCAGCCACGTGGGGAGGGTGTGGCCGAGCAATAATCCCTGTGATTGTGAACCAATTTGCCAAACAATCGCCACACCAGCATCTAATACGGATGACGAAGTCGCGGAAATTGACGACACGGACGCGGACTGAGAGGCCATCACCAGCTCATTTACGACCCCGGCGTTGATTGCAAGAGCTGCTGATTACACAAAGCATAGAATCCCATAGCAGAAACGTGCTATAAATACTACAATCCTGGTGCCACCATTACCCTTATCTGCGACTGTCTCTGATGATGGGTTCGATTGAGAATCCAAAACGTCAGGCTAATAAATTTCCTGTTCCAGCGAACGCATCTTCGCCTTTTGGACTGCGTCTTGCGCTTGCGTCTGTTCGCACCTACACAGTGTTATGTTAACCTACTGTGATAAAAGATCAAATACAAACCGAAAATGCAAATGAGATACTAACGAATGTGTCTTGTTAATATGCAGGCGGATAAAGTTCAACTTTCAGAGTTGTTAATTAGAATTGGTACAATATGCTGACTCCTCGATCCAGGACCGGCCCCATGATGCCATGTACTATTACTTCACTTATAATTGCCCTCAGGCTTACAAAAAACCCCCGTAAGTGGAGAACATATGTTTTGTGGGAGAAAGAGCAGATAGCATGAGTTCGTCCTGCAAACGAAGAGCTCTGCTATACTTCTTCTTCATTCTTGGTTGACGACTCTTACATTCATGTTATTAGACAGAGCATCCTCAAGTTCCTTCAGAAAAATAAAAGTCATAAGAAAAATGACGCTACACTTTTGTGCTGGAAGATCCAATTTTTTTCTTTTAGTGGAGTTCGATGATACGCCGGAAGTGCGAGTGCTATTTAACATTAAATCGGAAATCATTCAGTTCACTTCAGTTTATAGAGGGAAATGTGCATGAGCTTTTGAACTCTACATTTCGATTTATCTTCTACATTTCGTATTCTGTATTTCATATTTATTTGTCAGGCATCTGGATTTCCGCCTTAACTGCATGTGAATGTTGTGGACAAATAAAGGCAAGCTGGTGAACGTTAAGCACAAATACAAAATGAAAATTACAGACCTGATATTTCTGATACCCTGCGTGACTTGTATGTATCCTACATGACAGACCTATTGCAAATAAGTAAGGCATGGCGTTCGGGCTTTTGAAATACGACGCATATTGTGGATAGCATTATGAATGGTCTTTAAATTTGTTTCTCTAAAACTGACCGGAATAAATCAGTGAACGTATAGTTGTGGTACGCCTCGTAATCCGGTACCAGTGTTTTCAGAATTATTTATCTGTAGGACATGTTCTTACGTCAGGGATCACGAACAAAGCGCAAAGTGCAGGACTGGTTTAGCCAAATAATTTACTTCAATAAATAAATTTTCTTCCAAAAAAGATGTTATTAGGTAAATTTCGTTTGTTTAAGCATGGACTCTGAGGAACGACACTACACAATATAATCAAATTGACTCGAGGATAAATGCCAATGGGTGAAGTAAACGTCGATAGTAGCGATCTCTTGGAAGCACTTTAATAGAAGAAGCGGTTGCGGGAACAAACAATTTACTTGTCTGATGTTTCGCATTCCCATCAATACCCACCGTCAGTGCCAGTCGAAGCTATGGGTTATGAAGGCATAAGGGATGGAGCGTTTATAAACAAGTTTTAGTCTGCGCGACCCGTTAATTTTAGTTGTTGTGTAGTGGCATGGCAAGTGCTAAATATTACTGCTGCGCGTTTCATTTCCACGCTAAAAGGTCACTATTTTATTAAATCAACTCACCCGACGTTTCTACATCCCAGATTTATCCATAATCAGAGACAGCTACTGATAAGGGCGGTGGACGCACATGGGATTTGTGGTCGCAATGCTCTAACTAACATCGGTAAGTAAATCACGCCAATAAACGACTAAGACACGATTAAGTAAATAATCGTTCCATCAAGAAAGACAACAGGGAAAAAAATTTTATCCTACAAATACTTTGGTCCATGTTATTTCATCATTAATAATACAGAGAATGACCGATCTCATGAAATGTTGTCAGAAATTCTGAAATGCGTTTTCGATTAGGAAGTATTACTTAGGCGCAGTTGGAATACAAATTATCTTGCGACATAATCCTATAGTATTTCAGCCTTGGCAGTATGTCAGCTTTTGAATGCACTGTTTTTCATTTTTCTATAGAAACCGTACTCGGTGAAAAAATGACTATTTAAGTAGCATGCATTTTCCCATTGATCTTCGATGGTATTGCAAATTCATATTTTATAGGAACCGCGAAGGAGCATTTGCTTACTTTCAGTCGTTTGTTAGAAAATCACATTATCTTTATATTTTCTATTCGAAGAAGGAGTAAAATTGGCTTGTAAGAAAGTTTCTAATTGCGCGATTTTAAAAGAAAATCAATCAAAAAAGATTTTCTCAACCCTGTCGGTACAGGTATTTTGTTAGAGGTTTGAAATTGTTGATACTGATTTCGCCGAAATCTAAATAGCTTCTCCTGCTTACTGTTTTACAGTAGGTCCTTTCTAAGTGTCCCCGTTCAGAGGTTTTGAAACTCTACTTCCTTTGTCAGTAAACCAATCCGGGCTATTTTCTCAAGTACACAATTAACTGCATTTAACACTCAAAACACAGTACTAGACAAGTATCTAGCGTACTTGAATAGCCCTTTTTAAACTTATGTGCGGAAATGTAATTTCGATTGCTCTGACAGCCCTCATCACTGTGGCTCAGCTGCCAGCTTTTTTAACAAACCAGGCGTAAACTGGAGCGCAGGAAACAGCACCAACCAAAGGTCTTATAAAAACCTTTGCAAAGGTCGGTTGGCTTGTGTAGCGTGGTTTTGATTATTTCATCTTCTTTGAGAATCGACCAATGGCAACACCGCAGATGGCGCCATGAATAAGAAAACGTCAAATGTCACTTATTTTAATCATGATTCTCTGCGACCAACGTCCTTGTACCGCACACTCAGACAATTCTGCTTAGCGTCAAATCCAAATCAGAGCGCTTTTAAATGCTGATTCATTCACCCTAATCCCAGTGTCTGTTTCGTTGATTTTACTAAAGCTTCTGAATGCAGATGGGAGTGACATGCCAAAACAATGCTTCCCAGCGCTTCAAACGTGCATCGGGGCATATACCTTAGTTCGTATCTTTTAACTTTTTTACCTTTTCCGCAAAAGCGGGTGTGAACGTTTGAGCTGTAATCCCTCAGCTTCATTGACATAACTGAGAGGTCCTAATCCGTCATACGCAGTAGTAGGCAGTGTTGAATTATTGACTAATTCGCCACATCTAAAACACGCAACTCCCTAAAATATTTGCTCTAGTGCAGTTATTCTAAATTCGCTTATTAATTTCTGAAGGAAGCAAGAACAATAACGTAAATGTTTGAAAGTACCAGTAAACATGTGAGAGCGCCTGGAAAGCACTGATGAGAGAAAACCTTCGCAGCCGCGTCGTGTAGCACGCAGGAATCAGCGAAAACCGTGTTCTCGCCGTTTACTGTCCACTTAAACAAAAGTTGAAGACGGAGTGCAGTTTTCATATCAACCAACAATATCGCAGGAACTTCCATGAAACATTTGACAGTCTCATTACGATACGACATGCAATTCTGTCGTATCGTCCAATACAACTCTATTATCGCTTCACTTATCTTACTTTCTACTGTCTTTGGAAAAATAGCAACGCTGCCGATTTGTCTTTAGAAAAATGAACATGAAGCCGGCGTAACATATGGAAGCGTTTTAAATTAACTGCCTATCGTGACATAGAATATAGCATTGCGGAATATGCGGCAACATGCGTTGTCGCCTTCTCGAAAAATGTCCAAATGCCTACACCTCCTCCGCCCTCACCGATGAACATCATTTCGCATCTCGCCAGTCGTTTCACTTCTAAAGACCTTCGTTGCAGATGTGCGCCAGTTTACATGCACTGGCCATGATTTGTTTAAAGCAAACGTCCACAATTAGAGGCAACTTACTGGTCTAAAAAGGACAGCGCTGATTGGGAAGAATACCTTGAAAATTGCATGTAGGAAGTACAAGCATGTTTCACTACCTACATGAAGATACATTCTCAAATTATCTACTTGTGTAGTACTGAAAATTGTGCATTTCATGTACACTGAGAAGAATTCTGATACATTTATGCAATTGGTTGCAAGTTTTAAAACAGACGGCACGTTGTGAATGAGATTATTAGTGATCGAACGAGTCTATTTCTTTGTGGTTTTGGTACGCCTAATGATAAGGTATCAATGAATAGAGTTTGTTTTGTCTGGGGGCCTCCTGTATATGCCATGGGTGTTGAACAATGCTCAAAAGGCAGGACTAGCATAGAAAACGTATTTACGGAAAAAATGCGAATTAAGTAAGAAATTAAGTAGCAATAGACCGTATTCTTTTGTTTAGGCTACACTGTTTGGGCTGTCATATTTACTTAGTGTTTTTGGATAGATGAAGTTTACACAAGATTTTCGGGAATTTTCACTTTTCTAACCATTCTGGTATTTCTCAAACGCGTACTATTACTCTTAGCATTTTATTTATGTTTTACTCCTCTTGAAGTTTATATTTATTAACATAGATTTAGGTCCGACCACTGGTATCGGTTCGCGAGTAATTAGCCATTACTTTTAAATTTCAACAGATCCCACGAATATAAATCATCGAATTATTTTGTTACAAAATGCCGAAAATATTGTACCCCAAGAACACTAGGTAAAATTCAAAAATACCTCCACAAGGAGTTGCAGACATTTGTCTTACATTCTGTTATATGACCTGCTATGTCAAAATCTGAGTTGCGGATAAAGAAAAAAACACTTTTTGTGAGCATTGATAAGCAGTGACAATCCTGCCACCCTCACATCCAGTTAGTTCCTCCTTACAGGTTCGTGCTGGTTGCAACACAATTTTCAGCTTAGATTATCAAACCAGGAGGCGTTGCAGTTGCGTGGGAATTGGAGTTATCCCTAACCATTTCGAGTCGTTTTAAAGACAGGCTGTCTAAATCAAATTTAATTGGCAGTCGTCTCAATTTCGGCGTTCCGTATGGGTGATTCTTTGGAAATATATATAGACACGCGCCAAAACATGTAACAGCTCTACAAAATGAAAATCGTGGATCTACTATTTACAATATACTGTGTGGCCGGTATGTCTTCTACCAGATGGACATTGTTTAAATGAGTGAGACAGAACGTGCATGTTCTTTGAACTAAAATGCACACTTTGATTGACATTATTAATGCTCGTATGAATTTATATCTTTAACATTGACTGACATAAATGAGCTGGAATAGAGTTTTTATAGTTCTTATTATCCAGTATCAGTATTTCCAGGTTATGTCATCTGCAGGGCTCGCATTTAAGCAAGGGATTAGTAAGAACACATGAAATGTAGAACTAACATAGTCATTTTATTTATCCCAATAAAAAGGAATTTTAGCAAATTAGATATTATTAGTCCGAATTTCTTCGTTTAGGCATGACTGCTGAGGAACGATTCTACAAACCATTATCAAATGGACTCGAGGATAACATTGTCGCTTCAGCCGATAGATGTCAGTGGGTGGAAATCAACCTTCCGGAGCCGCTTGTGGTAGGGTTCACTCGCGAAATGCCTTCTAACAAATAAACATGCTAATAAATAGCATGAAGAGGCTACCATACATTTTCTATTTTTTTATTTATAAGAAACGTTTTAACAGGCAAATGCGACCACGCACCACATTTACTTTCTCCGATTGACGCAAAGTATTAAATGTCATTAAAACTATTTCCTTAGATGTTTTTAGTCAATGTAATATTTTGGGGTGACTGTTAGTTCTCCTTGACAGTCCTATTACAAATGCAGGTAATTAAACTACGTAATATGTCAAAGTATAGTTAGGATCGCTACAGTAAATGTCAGAAAATGTCAGTTGAAATTCCGAAATGCGTATTCGTTTCGAAAAATTATCTAAGTAAGGTTTTAAAATAAATTATCCTACGGCACAATTGTGCTTGCAAAAGCATACTCTGTACGAAATGAATACTTAGGCAGCCTGAATTTTTCTTATTGATTTTCAGTGACCATAAATATTTAAGCATATTTCATGAATTTCGAAAAATATTCATTATTTTGGACACTAGATAGAAAATGACGTTTACTCGAAGGAAAGGCATATTTCGGTTTTACAAATACTTGCCATTTCTCGAATAGTTTTGAATCCGACCTATCGTTACAGGGTTTCTAATCTGCAAGCCTTATATTTTCTACGTGCGGAACACCACGCACTTCTCTGTGGTAGTAGGAGGAGACTATATGGGCATAATACTATTTATTACTGGATATGGGCCATATTGTTTGCTTTACAAGGCCCGTAAGTAAATGCAGAAACATGACGCCTGGTGAACGTCCATTTCACGATATCAGAAAAATCTCACAACTGGAAACCGTTTAATACCAAATTATGCCTTTCCTCCGAGTATATAATTGAAATAACATAATTTGCTACCGAATGAGCACAATAATAAACATATCATGCCTGTTTTTTTGAAATAATCCAAAATGTTTAAGAGCATAGAAGGTCAATTAGAAAACTGCATGCTAGATAAGTATCTCTTTTGTACGGAGTATGTTTTTGCATGCAATCGGAAGGAAGTTCATTCGAAAGCCGGAAATCCGAAGGTAACAGAATACCTATAGAATTATGCTGCATGATAATTTCTTTTAAAAGTCTACTTAAGTAATATTTTCCAAACGAAAATGCATTTCAGAATTTCAGTTAACATTTCTTGCGTTGATATATGTACTGTAGCGATCCTAACTGCACTTTGGTATATGACGTGGTTTAATTATCTAAAAATTGCAATATGACTCTCAAGGAAAAATAACAGTTAAGTTAAAGTGAACACATTTTGGGAAGTGATTTTCGTTGCATATGGATTTCGTGGTAGGCATAGAAAATTAATGTGGCGCTTGGTCGTAGTTGTCTATTAAAAGCTTTCCTCCCGAGGTAAGTGAATTATTATATAACTATGCTGCATGACGGTTAGTTTTACAACCCAGGTTAATGAATCTTTTCGAAAAAAACGCAGTTGAGAATTACGGTCAATATTTCGTGAGGTAGCAAACTTACTCTTGGTCCTAAAAACCTAAATCAAATGCACTTAAGACGAACCTTGTCAATTCAGTCGATAGATGCTAGTGAGTGGTCATCAACCATCATTCTTGTCGTAGCGCTCACAAGCAAGAGCATACTCATAAATATATATGCCAATATGTGTTATAAAGAGGCGGATACGACCAAGTGCCACACTTACTGTTTCTCCTTACCAATAAGAAAGTATCAAATGCGACAAAATATATTTCCCAAAACATTTCTAACATATGTAACGTATAGCTAAACTGCTATTTATCCTCGAAAGTCATTCCACAAATTAAGATAATTAGACCACGTAATTTGCCAAAGTACAGTTTCGATTGCTAGGATTTGTTACATTTCGTGGACATTTGAGTCCACCAATGTCTGCCATTTTACGAAAATTATATCTTATTTTCAGGGCATTGAGTTGGATGATCTAAATCTTTTGTGTGATAATGGATCATGCAAAGCCGAACCAAACGAGACCGCAGACGTTAAATATATTGAGAAAAAAGGTATGCGACTTCTTTCCTTATAGAAAAATAGAATGTTCACGTGGTATTCCGTCGTAATTGTAAACAGTGAGGAACAGTGAAACTAAATGGACTCATAAGGAGCATAACTTAAAACAATCGGACTTTCTAGACAACGCCTCGTTATATAGAATAAAGCGAGGCGTAAATACATAACCTTACTGCTTAAAACATGATAATAAGTTTTTGCACTCCAAGAAGTCAACGTGACTAAACTGTCAATGAGACCACCTGTTCTACGAGACTGTCCTGTTAATCAACATTTGGAATCGCACTTATGGAATTATATGTAAAACTGAGATAAAATGTAGTAACTCACAATTAGCTCAGCGCGTCAAGTGATAAGCAACATTCCCAGTAGGTAAGATATCAACCGCACAGAAATGATATTAGACATGCATCGTGAAAGGCCGAATGAACAACAGGGGGATCGTCGCGAATCGCATGGATCAGGTCGAATCAAGTTAATTTTTAGAAGTGACGAACACCACGGCATGCTGTCCTGTGGGAAACGCTATATCTGGTGGAGATGGAAATTGAACCAGTCAACATGTTCTAGCAATCATGGGTGGACGAGCTGGAGCCAGAATTTCATTTTTTTCACAAATGCAAATATCCTTCGCTCATGGAAATGCAGCAGATGACAGTATTAGGGCGATAGAGAGGCCTAAATATCAGTATCTCATCAACGATTTATCTGATGACTATCGCCTGTTTTACGAGTGACCTTCTAGAGACTTTTCCAAACTTGATTGATCAGCCGGTTTCGAGACTGTCTTTGCACCCTCTAGTATATGCATCTACAAGAGATGTGTAAGCTTTGAACAGTATAGACAGAACATTTCTAATTATTCTGGTTGGAATAATAGTTATGCTGCTTAGGAAAATTAGGTAAGTGATTGTGCCCAATCGTCGCAGCCTACAGACAATGCCGTTTCGGATGAAAATGAAAAGTTAAGGCTAATATGCATTATTCAAGCAATCATTTAATTTTACATAACGTGCTCTGTCGGTTCTCGGTTTGTATACGATGTAAAAAGGTAGTAAAACGTTTATTACAGAAACGCATGTTTGAATTTGGAAGAGGACGCAGGTCTTATTCTTGTGCAAACTTTCAGTAGCATATAAATTTTTTACTAAGGAGCAAATGACTACAATGACTGCGTTTTTTAATGTTTCCCTTTATTTAATCATCAGAAGGAAGGTACTATAAAGTGAGTGCCCAGTTCTGCAAACCCGAACTCATAAAACACTTTCGAATTGGATGGGAGGTAAAGGAGTTTGAACGACCTGGGCGGAAGACAGTGCTAACACAATTCATTGTCCCCGACAACGACTGGTCGGGGAGCAGTAGAAGTAAGTGATCTTAATGCGGTTTGGTATATAAAGTATCTTTCATTTTTTGGGATCTGACGAACACCAAATGCTCTTAATTGTAGGCTGCATTCAACCAAAATATTCTCTGCCACTCATGAAATCCGTCAATGAAAGTTCTCAAGTTACAGTACAGTGCGCTATCCGGAAATCAACTTGTCATAAAGATGAGAACGTATGCTTCATATAATGACCCCAAATTTGTCAAGCAATTAAACTGGAATATTTAACTGATACTTTTGTTTTAGATTGTAATTTTCGACTTAAACAACGTCTTCTGTGTATACAACGAGACCATCAAAACATGCAGTGAGTACTTGGTGGTTGAATGTTTGTACAATCACTTGAGGCCGAATTTACGTTTTTCCTTCCTTAAATAAAACATTTCAATTTATTCTACAGTCAAAACAGAAGAGAACGATGAAGTCGTTTATTACACCACCACGGTTTCCAATACGGCCCCAAACAAATATTTTCCTGACCATTACATCTTCTGTAACTCATACGACAGTTACATGTCAATGAGGCTCACCTGGAACTCAGGCAAGACTTCTTTTTGCGTAAATATAAGTCGTCCCTTTAAGGACATATTTTGGTCAGGTATTTTAGCCTTTGTGGCTGAAGCAAATGAGAGTAATCCTATGGGGGTGATGCTCAGAATCTAGTTTAAATTGCATATCCACCTCAGATAGTTCTTACAGTGAATTGTGATTTGAACCAATGACTAACTGACGAGATAATTGTAATAAAGACACCACCGTTGTAAAAATACATGGTGACGCTGAAGCAAGAAATAAACTCAGCAAATAGAAACCAGTTTATTATACAGAAGAGATTTTGTAAATCTGTCGTACTTCATTCATTGTACTGCATGAAATATTTCCCATGGTTTGCATAGATCAACAGTCGACGACTACCGAAGAGAATATAGCAGCAACAGCATCGACCCACGGTAATAAAATTCACATGCTTATTCGTCTTTATTTGCAAGTATTTGTATGCTGCAGTAACTGTTGATTCGAAAAGGGCGTCCCCATATTTCTTGATAATGTACCGTGAATGATTCGCAATATCTTTTTTATGAAATTATTTTGATGTCGATGATTGTTCTGACAGTGCTTCCGAGTTTTAACACTATTTTGTGTGAAAAAAGTGAAGTGCCCACCGGATGGAGACAGTTGTTTGGTTGACGTTTCAAATAGCTTTGGCGGCTGTCCATCATCAAAGCATATGGTGCAAAAATCAATCAGAATTTGGAAATGTCAACCAAACAGTTGCCTCGATTTGGTGGGCACTTCCCTTTCTTCATATTTTCAACCCGTTTATCTTATATTTGCTAAGCTGAACTATTTTGCATGCATGCAGTTTACGCTAGCTTTGAACAGCCCACGCGCATGCACGTTTACGCTGGCTTTTAAATGCCCAGATGGAAGGATCAAATGACTCTCATACAAGTTAAACATTCGATTTAAATGTATGCTACTTCATTTTTTAAATCACGGTCGCTTAAGCAGAGCAAACTCAGACATATCTACGTATTGTGCTCTATAAATGGCAAATCAATTTTTTTTAATTGCACAAATCCTCATGCTCCATAAAGTGTCGCGGAAGGTATATGCTTACTACCTTCAAATACTATAGACAGATTTGTTCGACCGGCCTAACATTCGTCTAACGGTTTTTATTTGGATAAGGCGTTATATGAACGTGTCGCAGTAAAGCTAGTCTTGCTATTTATTTTGCTTATTTTGTCTATCCCTCCAAATTAACGTACACTTGATTTCCATAGAGCAGCGGGCTACGATCATTGTGGAGACTGCAACAACAACAATGTCGAATATAAGTAAGGCCTCGTATATGCTTATTCCTATATGTCAATATGCATATCCATCTCGAAGCAATTTTTCATTCAGATACAAGGAAACACAAACCCGGATTGTTACAGATACAGTGCGATGTATGACAGTGGTTCCATAATCTTGTTTAAAATTTATCCCGCTCACACTTGGTTCGACGTATATCCACCAATGACAACTATAGAAGTGATATTTAGTACTGTGTATGAGTAAGTATTAAATCTAAACTGAAAGCATGTTAACCAAGGCAGGCCAGAGTTAGACCAGTCGAAATACAGTGCGTTTTTTGGAGCCATATAATGTTATTTCTGCAAATCCATTAGTTAGCCGCCAGCCAAAGTTGAATAAGAAATACACATATACACGCCTTTACAAAATTCGGACTAAGTACTGAGGGCACACTTCCAGACTACTTATATTTCGGGAACAAACCACTATTGGTCCAACATGGTTTCGAGCAAAATGCGTCAAAAGCAAGCACGGCATATAAGAGAGAAAGTAAAAACCGCAAAGTTCCGTTCTGCCATGTATTCAACGGCTGGTCTATTTCTTGAAATGTAAATCAAAATTATTAAATAAATTTTCAATAACAATCGATTACAAAATTGAAATTATAATATTAATTATCATGCAGCGTACTTCAAAAGCCATTAATTTACACTAGAATGCCGACTGTTCTACGCAAATATATGGTAGATTTGAGCCTACAAAGTTCAAAATAGAGAAATTGTTTGAGATAGTAAAATGCACACTCAAAATTCATGGCGCCTGGCAGTTTGCCAATGCTACTTATGACCTATTTCATACGGTTCACGATCTTTGGGCTTTGTTATAGTCCTATATGACGTCACTATATTAAGACAGAGTAATGTGTATTTTTCCTTACACGGAAAATACGCCGCATGTTATTTAAAAACTCTCGAATAAAAATGAAAGGACGTGTTGGATTCACATATATTTCGGAAAGTAGAAAGGTTTTTCGTATCTTCACTTTATCCTTTCTCAAAGCGCACAGTTTGAAAAAGACGTAGTGGTGCATCAAATGTGCGGTTAAAAGAATACTTGTAGTGAATTCGTCCCGTAAACAGTGGTCTGAATGTATAAGATCAGTGAAAACCAATGAGGAAAATGCATAGTACTTCGTAGATATTTGATCCCGTTTGCGGGTTTTTCAAGCGTCCAGAACGAGCTCTTTCAAGGGCTGTCATCCTATCCTAGCCGTCACTTTGGAATTACGTTACAAGAAAATTAATATGACAACAAATCATGTAGCCATCTTAGTAAACCTCTGTATGTAGAAACGCATTCCTGAGTTTAAGGTAGCTTGCCACACACTCCTGCGAAGTTAAAGTCAAACTTGGTGGTGCTAGTGCAATTGCTTTTTGTAATAACGAACATATACCGATTTTGGTATATAATGAACACGGTTCAGTTGACAAATGAATTCCGATCTGCCAATAACAATCGGCAGTGCAGATGCAATGTAAACAACAGTTTAATCATGAACAAGTGCATAATCGTGTTTGACCTTGCCTAAATCACATGCGAATATTCGGCTGATTGTCGCCGAAGTACTGTCGGCCCTTCTATGGTAACTATATAAAAAGCAAAGCTAACCCCTATTCTATTGTAATGTCATTTCACGAGCTGTTTGGCAATCATATTTGCGATAAAATGTTGCCTTTCAATTCGTGGAGAAGCTTAAATAGGTTCAAGAAGTATGAAGCGAAGGATCAGACAGTAGTTGAAGTCTGAGTTCAAGCCGTAAAACACGTTTTATTTTTTTCACTGTCAAATCCGTTCGATCACCTCAATGACTTCTGATGCGTATGTATATATGGTATCAGCATGGGTTTCATTTTCAATGAGGAGCAATTTTATTTTTGTCTTAAATTATACTTAGGTCAGACATATGTGAAACACTAACATTTTTACACAAAAATAACAGTGGCAAAGACATAAATGCAATGATAATTAAGCGAACGAGTACTTCACAAAGAAGTTAAAGAAATATGCCAATACCAACTTAACGTAAGTGTTGTTTTTTTCTAAAGGACAACTTTTCATCTGATTGTCACTGGACGCGCAATAAGATGTCACTCTTTGCTTAATAAGTATAAATAATTGTTTATTTAAAGGCACACTGACGTTTACAGGAGAGCGTTAGCTTTATCCTTAAACCTCTTTTGTTCATGGTGTGAACGTTTATTATATAGACCTGTTGATACTCTCCGCCTATTGAATGAACTCGGGGTTTGCTCTTGTAAGTCTCAGGCTTAAGACCTTTGAACAGTGGGCCGTGACTAAAAAATCGATCGAATATTGTCTACCATCTATTTAACTAAAATATATTTTGCACTAAGTTTCGACGTGTTTAACAAGAGGGGATATCGATAATTCCGTTGCTTTTTGCTGATGAATCAAGCGCATATTCCACGGAGTATCAGATACATACAAGAAAGAAGACTACGACTGCAAAATGTATTAAGGGCACCTATAGACCAAGAAGAAAACAGAACACTCAGGATTACGGAGTTGATTGCGTATTTTCCAGCATTTAATGACACAATATGCTGTTTCGTTTTGCGAAACTCAGGACATATCGATGAATTTTTCTGTTTAACTGCGTGAAATAAAATGCAAAATATACTTTGCCTGAAAATTTCCCTGGATTTAACAACATGCCATTTATGTTATCCTTTAAACGCCGCAGGTGATTTTTGAAATTCACAACCAATGCCAACACGCACTTCAATATTCACACTATTTAACATTATTATAATTATTGTTCCAGATGATCAATGTTCTTGCCCAAACATAGGTAAGATGATACGATCATTACATACTTATTTCTGCTTTGCAAGAAACGCAAATGCGTTTTTATTCTTTAGATGAGGCGATAGAGCTGCCAACGTGTAAACGCAGTGGTGAGTGTTGTGTTCCCCAAATTCACATGTGTAGCTAAAAGGATAATTAATGAGAAGTGTTATTTTCAAATTTAGCAATATTCGACTGCTCTGGATATTGCCAAACATAATGAGTGAGAAAACCCGCTCCGGAGTTATTAATTCTATGCAAATTGGAACACATGTTTTTTTTTTGATTATGACTATTATTAAGGAGAGTCGTGCATTAAAATTTATTCATACTGTCTTTCAAACAGAATTCTATGAGGCTAATTTAACAAAAATAAAACAATGGGATCTTGATATGCGAAACATAATTTACCAGTGAGCAATGTATATTATTTTAGATTTACACGGTAATGTCTCGAAGAAAAGGCTGTTGATCTGCCTAATACACCAACGAAAACCCGTCTTTCTTTTTTGAATATTCTTATAATGATAAGCAGGTAACGTCGGAAATAAAAGTATGTTGTGGTTTATAATAGGCCTTATTATACTGTGCATTTTTCGCAAGGACGCCGTGTTAGTTAGCTTTTGCTGCTGTTGAAAGTTTCGTATATTAGTCAGCATGCTAATGTCAGAAGTCAGAGATGAACTTGCCACGCAGTGTCATTCCACGTAAACTTCGGACGTTTTCGTGTGTACACTCACAAAAGAAAACAACAATATATTTACGAAGGTGCATTGTTCATTAAAAAGGAACGTGTATAACACTTGCCGGCTTATACTTTATTGTCACACTCATGAGCGATCTTTGGTGTCATCGCGCGAATGTCTGATGATCTATTCGAGTGAGAATACGAAACGTCATACCAATAAATTTCTTGTTCCAGTGATCGCATCGTCGTCTTCTGGACCAAAAGTCTGTTGAGAGTTTCCAAGCGTAGGGAAGTCAGTTATTGAGTGGACGTGTTGTGTGGGCAATATAAGCAGTCCGAAATAACTGACCAATGTATCTTGATAGTTTTAAGAAACTAACAGTCTATGCTGTAATTGAGGGTTTAAAGCTGCGTAATTCGTCTTAAGCATACACGTTTGCCCAATATGCCTACGAGTGGAAGGCAGAAACGTGGCTTTTATTCCAGCCGACGGTCAAGTTATAGATGGCAGAGCTCTAGGTGTTTAGCAGGATTACACATCAAACCCCTTGCAGTTTAAACTCAATTCGTTTTCAAGTTTCTCAGCGAAATCATGCCATGTAGTATTACAAACATTGTGATTAATTCCAAGGAAGAATTCATGCTGATGCTAAAAAGAAACATCAGATTTGTTCCCCGGAAAATATTAAATCCGTAAAGGAGATAGATGGCGTGGAATCTTCCCTCCAAACATGATGAGTGCTGTTAATTCCAAATTAAACGTTTGGAGTCCATTCATGTTCAGGTGATAATTCTGGGGCATGAATTCCCAAAAAGATTAATGATTGATAGGGCAGACATCCTTTGAAATGATTATTAAAAGGTCATCTCCAGATGAAGACAAGCTTAATAAACAACGTGCTGTAACCCTCCTAAGCCTTCATAATGGACCTTTTGGAAGATTGAATGGCGGAGAAAAAAATAACTGGCTTCATCTCTACTTAATAAAGGCGAGCTTCGAAAATAAACATCTCAGGAAATTAACTAAGAAGAAAATATGGTTTTTTTGCGGAAAAGATAAAATATTTTTTGTGTACGTCTATGCGGCTAGTTGACCACTAATCATGGGACTATGGGCGATGTGGATAAACCATTATCTAACTGACCATGTGTAAAAAATGATACAATAGTTGCCCGAAGTCTGCTCCATTGTGCGTCAAGTGCACCTCGGCATGCCTTCATAGGAGACTGTGCTCGTTTGGACTTGCCTCTGAGAATTCTGCACACGCATCAAAACCGATGTGCAGACAGATGCAAAGCTCGTATGAGTGCATTGCCTCCAGCGATTCACGGCCTTTCCGTTCTTGGCAGGCGTCAATAATGCCCGTGTTCTCCCACCCAGGTGTTTGCATGACCACAAGGGATAGATGCTATTGATTCTCCAACGGTGTGTGATGTTCGTGTATAAGGGTTGTGTCAGATTTCTCAGTTTGGTATCATAATTAGCCGGTATGATCTCGCCGACATGCATTTTTCCGTTGGATTAGTGTCATTTTAATGGTTTCTCATACTTTGCTTGAAAACGATGTGACACTAACGGCATTTTTGACAAGGATTGCCCCTAGGCCTTATCACTGCATTTAAGGGAAACGGGACACATGGATTTAAACATCAGACTTTTAGAATCAAAAAACGCACAGCCTTCTTAAAATGGTCTACTTGTTAGCAACATGCTTTGCAAGGATAGTGGCGGGAAAAAAATCAATCCCCAGGTGTAAAGAATTCTGTCTGCCAATGCTCCCGACGTTGAGTTAACTTTTATCGAAAATAAAAGCATGTCAAAATAGGCAAACTACGGCTGGGTTTTCTATTAACTTGGAAAACTGCCCGGGTGTCCAGTAATGCAAATTTGTGCTGAGGCAATGTGTATCAACCATCTCTCTGATAACATAACATGGTTTGCACTTGGAAAAGGCTGGGCAAATGAGCAGATTGCGTAACGCTTGAGGTACTGCGCTTGTGTACATTTTAGGAGACGTCTCACAACTACGGTACTTGTTTATAGAGCCTTAGGTACGAATGCATTACACTTCTCACATGAATGAAAACGCTAAATCTTGGTTAAAGTCATATTTTCAGGATAATGCCCGAGGTGTCCTTTACATTTTTCTGGTTCTTTATATCAAACATAGCGCAGTGGATTTTGATTCATCTAACTTATACCCCGTTCTTGATACATTTCAATATATGATGTGTACTTATATTTAGGCATCCGTTTTTTTCAGTGTTCAAATTCCCGGTAGTCCTTTCCTCTAGCTTCACAGCGTCCTTCAGAACATAATATAAGATGCAATATTTTAAAATAGAATGCGTTACTTCAAAAAAATGATTTAAACAGTAACTTTCTGCACGCAACACGCCCGATCGGAGCAACTTAACCGATCAGTGCGGCAGGGGGCTAAGATGAAAGTCGCTTCGAATGACAGTTACGGTGCCCTTGTAAGGGGCTAGCAGACAAGCAAGGATTTTGGGAATAAGCAAAACGCCTGAAGTTAATACGTCGTTGGCCATATAGTAGAGCTCCAAAGAATTAAAAATACTACTCACGTGCACGATGCATTTTTCGTCAAAAACTTCATATGTATTTACATGCAAAACTACCCCAGGGTAAATATGGACAAGAGGTTCTTGCTGACGAACTAGCCGTGAACAAATTCCGGTGCTTCATTGGGCTCAGAGACTGAAATCTTTTCACGGGTTACAAGCCTCGTTTATTTACTTTCAAGTCGAAATCTGATAAAATAAGCTTCTGATGATCCACAAACGGACTACACATCTCAGGGCAACTGTTTCCCAACCACACAAAGTACAACCGCGCATTCGCAATAGCTTTTCTTTTGCATACAACTAGTTAAACTCGTTGCATGTGCGTTATCCGGCTCCATCTGCGAAAACACCAATGGCCACCCGTCGCGTATTACGGCTGGCTGGTGTTCGTTTACCTCAGGTGGGGGTACATAACCACGTTTGGCCCACAATCATAGTCTTCCCGTCAACCTCTTCGAGAATATGCACAAACACGATATCCCCCGAGACCCATAGATACATTCTTCCTACAGCATGCATAAAATCCACGTTGCCAGAGCCAGTATGAGAGATAAACGTCGCACAAAATAACATGCACATCTGCGTAACGCTTAACATCGTGCATGCCTTTGGATCACGACGGGAGTAGATTTTCGGCGAGCAGCCATCGTGTTCGATGTGTAACCTCCAAACGGGCTGAACCAAACCGGCATACGACTTTACTCTGACATTTAACCTGTGTCGCTCATTGTGCCCATGGATTGAAGATCGCAATCGCGACACCCTGTCGTGAACCGAGATGGATGTTCTCACTAAAACTGAGTTTTACAAGTACATCTCAAATTCCAGTCAACTTGTGTAGAGCACTCATCCGAATACGTGGCCATTTGAGCATACCTATTTGTTGTCCAGGATATTCTTCCGTCCATTACTAACGGAAACAACATGCGTGATTTATTTTTATACACACAACATGCTGCTCAATATACAACAGTGAAATTTCAAACATTCGACATTGCGTTATCTCCCACATTTTGTATTTGTACATTCGTCTGACTGAGCCCCCACTGGGATACATTGTGCCGACATTTCCGTTTCTCTCATACCAACATGCCAACTCACCGGCACGCTTTGACGAGACCCTGCCAGAACGCCTATACTTGATGCCATAAATGCGCCCCTGTACAGTTCGCATCATCACCCTCGTACGCGGTCCGGGCTACTCCTGTCAGCGTCGACACGTGCTCTCAAATTTGCACATGCATTAGATAAGTTTCGTCAATAATAGACGAAGAGCAAAATACCATTCTCACACGCGATAAGCCTGAAAAAACCACGGTTTTGAGTTGTTTGTCTCTCGCATTCGCTATCTAAAGGAAAAAATAGCGGTCTCCTACATAGAGAAGGAAATTCGAATGACGGCAAACGACAACTATAGTATATATGGCAAGGCAAAGTATGATTGCAGACAACCTGTTTGCATGAATACAAAGATACTAGTATTTCTTAGGTGCTATTTTGAGCATCACAGACAATCGTTGGGTGACTAAATTTCTTAGTTTCTGCAAGAAGCTTGCTTTGAAATCTCTGTATCAGGCTGCCTGTTATTTGCGTAAAACGCCTAGTGTGTCAGGTATGAAACTAGCTAGACGTCCACCCCCGACGGAGCAGTGAGTGAAATCCAACTTTGTTGTAGGCTATTATTTTTTTGTTTGGCCGTGAGATTAAAGCGCAGTCTCAACCGCGGGTAAGCTTTAAAGAGGAAGACGCGTTCCCACAGATATGTGCCTTAGGGGTCTGACGTTTCGAATGATTGTTTCACCCACTGATTTTCCAGGACTGAAGCGTCATGCACGCAGCTCTCATGACATCAAAAACTTTGCTTGATGCGGTAAAAGCCGATGCCGAAGGTGGGGCTGCGTTATATACTTACTTCATTATGACGTCGTCTCGACCTAAGCAGAGACTGTGCTCTGCCTCCCTCCTCCCTCATTCATCTGCATCCCTTGGCAGGACAACGTCAGAACGATGGCGGCTGGGGTCGGACTCTCCGTTTGGCAAACCTCAGCAGCCCGTCCGCACGTATTACACATGACCTGGTCCCTTGACAATGTATCAGCTTGCCTGTGGAGGTGCGACTGTCAAAGACGTCATATCCAGATGAAGTCACTTATAACGTCTTCCACTGCTGGGATAGGACTTACTTTATCACTTTCCGGTACTTCAACGTACGTTTCTCAGCGCGTCTTGGTTGATCAAA